TTATCTTGACTTTAAATACGATAGGCAGCAACAAAATTAAAGCCAACGGAAAAGACAGCAATTTTTTTAGTACGTTACCTAAATCCAGGCTTGGTTATTCTTCCGTACACATTCATTCAATAAATTCAGCAGTTTTATCTAGTATTGTCGTAAGCATAGAGGAAAGTCCGAAAGAAAGACCTTTGGTTGTAAGTAATGAAACAGGAAGCGACGACTATAAGCTAAAAAGGCGGATGTGACGGGTTTTTATTTGATTGAAGGATATACATTAGTCGCTTATCGTGCCGATAACAACATTAGGACTGGAGCCAGCCAATTACTTACAGGGATTTTATAGAGCTAGTACTTTATAACAATTTCAAAAAAACGAACATCAAACAAATATTAAAAAATGGATGCAGGTGAAGAAGCAAAAGAAACACATCCGCTTAACCCTCATTTGGAAGACACGTGAGTAAAAATTATTTATAATGATTTTTTTAAAAGTAAATATATAATCTTTTTGTAGTAGGCCTATTTCTCTCCAAAAAGTACTAACTTGACGATGATGTTGATTACGACATCGGAGAGAAGACGATGACGGCCATAATGATGACGACAATAATTATGATGAATGATAACATTGATAAATAGGGCACGATTAATGTTGATATTGTAAGATTGAGAACATTTTGTTTGTATTAAAATCAGGATTATGGCATCAAGCGAATCAAATTCGACTAATGTACCAGAGACAATAGCGAACATCGATGAACCTGATGTAGATGTAAAAAGAAACGATGAGGTAAATAAGATTATTATATTAATATTATCATGTGATCATTAATATTATTGTTATTTTTGTTGCTGTTGCTGCTACATTTTGTTATTCTTGTTATTGTTGAGCTGTTGCTGAAGCCTACACGCGGCGGCCTTACTAAAACCACACGAACGCCGTGGTGAACCGATTCAGCACATCAAGTTCAAATCTGCGACAACAACGCCACAGTCAACCTTCACCTATATAAAGATGTACCATCAACTGGAACCTGCAAACGTCTGGTTGAAGACGGCTATTCCACTGTGATTTTGGACTTTTTGGACGAACGAACGAACAAACTGTTTCTTTTGCTGTGACTGTTGCTGTTGTTCTTGCTATTGTTGTGTTATCAGGCTTTATGTAGTTG